TTTAAGATGAGACTGGCACCACCCTAAGGAATTCACGGTGTTGTGGCCTGCTGGCTTGGGAACTTAGGTTCCGTCTGGAGAGATTTCTGTCTTGAGGTGGAAGCTTATAAATGCAACAGAACTGTATTTGTACTGTCTCGTGGAGTTCTTTGGGCTGAACCTGACAGAAAGCCCCCTCCCGGAGCCTTAGTTTTCCAATCAGTAAAATAAAATTTCATGTAAGTGAGTTTTCATAGCTGACAGGAGAAGGATCAAGACATGTTCTAACATAGGAATGAAATGATGGAATTTCAGAACATTTAAAAATATTATATTGATTAAGCGATTTATATGAATCTACTCTGTACCTTTAGCATACTAAATGGATCTGTAGGACTTCCTTGCGGCAGAAGCCTTTTTTGCAGCCTGTGCCAGAAAGTAGGCTATGTTTTTGGCATCCTTCTACCTGGCCACTGAAAGCATGGAGATGAGTGGAACCGCCAATTCTGGCAAAGACACACCAATTGAAGAATAAAATAGCCAGTTTCCCCCTCCGTCGGTCCACCATACTGTGCCTCTGGGGCTGCTTTAGCTTAGCAGGGAGGAAAATTATTTGGGGCAGAAGCTCCTGAGATCAGCAGGTCACAAGGCACTGACTTCAAAGGCTGCCTTTGTCTCCAGGCAGGAATTGCAAATGTCAGCAGTTCCTTCACATGTGCTCTGTTTCATGGATGACATGTTTACATCTTCCAGGAATGAATTCAAGGAGAATATTACTGCCCCTGACTCCAAGGATTGTGCGAATCCTACCGATTTGGCTCCTAGAGTGGAGGATGTTCTTGTAAAGGTATGTTGCTTTTTGGTGAGGAGCAGCTTGGGTCTTCTGAAACACAAGATGAGAAGTCCTAAGCAAACTGCTTGTGTTAGTTGTTAAACACAGCAGTAATTTAAAACTCTGTTCCTGGGATAGGTTCCTGGGATAGAATGAGATTATGTTGAGTATAATATTAAAAGCAAGTGGGGACCCTTCACTTATCCTGCAATCTGTGTGTGCGTACAAATTTGTCCCCCCACTTTTGCATTTAGGCACAAGTAAAGTTTATGAAAATGGAAAATCAGATCTTTTTCATGCAGGGATTTTCACTATGAAGAGAGGGAAAAGGATTAGGGAAGGGAAGAAAAGTCACCCATGTCCAGGTCTAGCCTAGCTATGCTCTTTCCAATATATAGCCCTTTAAAAATTATCCCCAAATATAAATGTATGGTCTGTCCTTTGAGAAGAATGGTTTTAATTGGCAATAAAAATCTGATAATTTATTAAAACTAATCAGCTTTGAATGATCAGGAGCACACAAAATTAATGCTACAGTAAACTATGATTTAAATTACATGCAAATCAAGACTGTTTTTAAAGGCATTTATCAAAGATTTAAGTGCCAGATACTTTAAAAAATTGTGAAAAAAATAACAGAAAAAACTGTTTTGCATGTAATTTAAGTCCACCAGTGTGTATATTCTGTGTTGCAAGAGTGGGATTCAAGAGCCAGTTTGGCTTAGCGGTTAAGATGCTGGACCAGAAATTGGGACACCATGAGTCCTAACCCTCCCTTAAGCACAGAAGCCGGCTGGGTGACCTTGGGCCAGTCACTGTCTCTCAGCCCAACCCCCCTCACAGGACGGTTGTTGTAGGGAAAAGAGGAGGAGGAAGCAGTTCATATGCTGCCTTAAGTTGTACAAAATAAAGGTGAGTTATAAATTGAATAAATTACTGATTGCGTTGCTTCAGTTCATATTGTGACTGAAATTTAAATCCATGTATATCAGAGCCTAAAATGTATATGGCAGAAGGGAACAATGCCACTGGGGCAGCATTCATAAACATCAATCCTACCCTTGCAGCTTTTTCAGAAGGGAATGAAACCCTAGCAAACATTCTGCAGCTTTCTATGTGATTGAGTGTAACTTAACTACTCCCTTTGGCAGAGTTCCCCAGAGCGCATGGAGATTTCGTTAACATCACAGGCAAAGAATTTAATTGACTTCACGGAAGCCACGCCTCAGGTAAGAATGAAAATTAAAACAAAGCTTTTTCATTATGCTCCTGATAATTTAAAAATAGGATTAGTACTTCCATTGTTTCTATCTAAGTGTTCTTCACTTTCAGTCTAAAGCTTGTTTGAGCTAATGTCTCATGTTTAGTTGATATGACACTTGGCCAGTAAGGTTATATTAGAATATTAAGAGTTTTTTTTTTTAATGTTTGTTCTACTTTTAGGTGTCTTCACCAACAATTATGCCCAGGTGGTTAGTGCCAGTAAGTTATTGAATATTCCTTACAAACAGTGAATTTTCATATGCTTTTGTATGTTCATTTCTTATTATTAGCAACAGTCACTCAACTATTGTTAAAAGTGGTACAAATTAGTATGGATTTATATAGAAGTTTCTGAAAGCCTGCCATTTCTATTGCATGGTAGGCAATAAACATTTTTCCTGCTTTATCAAAGGAGACCATCTAGTTTGGGAAGGACTCTGCCTTCTACAACCTGGAAGTGATCCTTAATTTTTCTGAAAAAGGCAGAGCTTTACCCTCCATTCTCCAGTCAAGTTCCTTCCTTGTGGTTTTGAGTGAAAGTTATTCCCCTTACTAATTCAGATGCCGGAACTATTTGGAGGATCTATATATTCTGGCCTGTCTCCAGGCTATCTTCTCCCTTGAACAGTGGTTGAAGGTGACCAATTCAAGGGCTACATCAGGGTTTGCACTGCACTTCAAAGGCTGCACTCCAAAAGCATAACTTGGTGTCACCCGTTTGGAGGAGGGAAATTTGGGAGGTTTTTAATGGGTGTGGTAAGTCTTTGTAAGTCTTTGCAAGGTTCAAGAGCCCATTTTGCTCCTTAAACTCTTCTCCAACCATCTCCCAAAATTGAAAAAGATGCTGAAACTTTTGATTCTACTCATTTTGGGGGCCATATTTCATCCCCAGAAAACTCCCTTCTGGTATGTCCAGTGTTATTCTCTCCTGCCTGCTAATTGTTTTTTTGTAAATTTCATTTTGGCCATTCTCCCAACCCAAATTGGTCATTGTCCCAACCGTTGTAACTCACCAACTGGGGGGAACAGCCAGGAAGGAAAAGGAGGGATTTGAAGGAAAGAATTCAGGGGCAAGAGATAAACTGAGCATTTGTTCCACACATCAGTCCTTCTCTGGTATGGCATTTGCAGTAACTTGGTAAACACGAACATTTGCTGACAGCATACACACATCATCACCTTACTGACTTCTTTCCTTTGGTTTTCTTTTTAGAGCGGACTGACTTCTAATGGGCCTTTGGGGAATGATGTTGCCTTATCTCTTAAGACAACTAAAGCAAACACTGAAGCTCTATCAGTCTTGGCTACTGGCTCATCACCTCCATTGTACCCCTCTGAAGTCATGCCCGGGTAAGGATTTTCTTTTTGTAGAATTAAAGCAGACCGCCCCCCACTCCCCGTTATCTTCCACATGCTCTAGCCAGCAAATTGTCATGGGAGGTCATGTCTGCGACACTAGAAGAACACCAGTTTGGTGAACAGTGGAATGCTGAAGGAATTGTACAGCTTCTAAATTAATTGTATAACTTCTGTACAACTTCTGTAAGTATTGTCTTGTATAACTTCTACATTATTAATCCAGTTCTTCTGTTAGGTATTGTGAACACCATAGTATCTTGTAGTTCCCGAGCAGTCTATTAATAGGCTTCACTAGTAATTTTCTGGTCCTCTTTGTGGCTCAACCTTTGCAATGTTTGTAACCGCACAGAAAATAGAAATATCACATCTGAAGTGAGCAATACAGACATTCCATTTACAGTGAGTAAGTTTCATTAAGAAGCTTTTAAAGATGAGACGTTGTTGGCTATATGATACAAAGATCTTTCCATTCCTATATACCTCTTAAACTGTATTTACTCTGTGTATCATATATTGTAACTTACATTGTTTCTGAAAGATAATGTGGATATTGGATGGCCTTGTGTAGCTGCAGGGCTGAGCCTGAAGGATAAAAGGCTGGAGGTCCCCAACCCTTTGTCCAAGACCACACCCCAGCTCTGCTCCTGCTCAGAAGTTGGAGGAGAATCTTAGCTCTCTGTTCCTCTGCCTCCCACCGCGGCATGTAGCTTTCTTGATTGTCTCCCTCCTGCCAGAAAACTGACTGCAGTTTCCAAAAGAATAAACTGTTTTCCAGGAGGGGTTGTGGAGGGGTATCTCCTTTGGCTACATAGTGAAGTAAGCATACCTCAGGAAGATCCTGCTTGAAACTCACAGCTGCTTTCCAGACAGGGCATATATATCTACCTTGTGAATGCTAGGTGGCATCACAACATGTTATTTGGACTTGTTTGCTTTCCACTTGGCCACTAAGTTAAGATCAGTCAGCTATGGATTCCAAGAAGATAAGCGTACTCTTCATCTTCCACCCAAGATTATGTATATTCTTTTTTTCGTTTCAGTCCTGTTACTGAAGATACTACACGGCAGAAATGTTTACTCACCACTGAACTCTGAACTTCAACAAATCTCTTTAGATATCTTTAGTGAGCCCCTGCAAAGGACTTACCTGAAAATAAGCCATGTTCATACCATGGTTAAAAAAGAATGTTTGATTGCTTTACAGTAAATCCCTCAACTGGAACTAAGAGTATGATTATAGGACACAGAGCTGCTGGGAAGCCTGAGGATCCCTTGCAAAATACATGGGAACAAATTCTGAGATGTCATGAAATCCACAAGGTTTTCATCCACTGTAATGCTTTTGCTAGAGAATTCCTTGCTGCTTTATAGGTGCAAATGAAACTACTCACAGAGATGAGCTGGTTAAGTTTGGGGG